TACTTACTACTGGAGACAAGCTTTAAGCAAAAGAAAAACCCGACACCAGTAAAGGACTTTGTGAAGATGATGTTTAGGTAAAACTCATAGCGAATAAGGTAAAGCTGCGTAGGTAAATTTAAAAGCTCTCAGCTTTGCCTAAGTATGAGCTTTATAAATAGGGAAGTCCACCACTGCAGGCGGGCTTTTATAAGGCGACTTCTATTTGTTTTTTGCTCCTGCTTTCTCAGCTTTTGCTTTTTTCAGCTTACATTCACGAGTTCCGACTCTCTGATTAAGCCTTCTTTTTTTTCATAAGTTCAAGTTTTTTGTAATTTACTTTTTTTTTATTGCTGAGTTGTCTCATTCTCTTTTTGTTGTTTCGAGTTCTTGCCTCGAAATCCTAACAAATACCCTTGTTCACCTCCTCTATTCTGCCACCAAACCCCTGCCTGTAAAGCGGCATCTAGACACCCATCACACACCACTCCCCAACTACTGTCACCATTAACCGTTTCGTACTTTTCACTGGCATTCTTGTTCTCCTCTATCTTGTCTCCAACCCGCGCCCCGGAACTACATTTGGACACCTACCCGCCACCACCCCCAACTACACCAGCCTCTCAACCGAGCACCTTCCTCTCCCTCTTCCAGCCATGCGTTTCAGCCGTAGTGCGCAGAGTAGAGCTACCCAGCACTCCTGACAAAGTGCCAAGCGGCATCGACGAGTGACGCCGCGAAACAGTGTTAGCAGAGAAGCTGGAGTAACGACCAAGTAGAGCCGAGTTCTACTAATTTTTGACAGTTTACGATTTTAATACGCATTATACGCATTATCTGACAGTGTCCAAAACCAATTCGGCTTCGGATTTCGAACTGCCCACGCTTATGCTCTCCCGTTCTGACCATTGATGGACACAAAAAAAGAGAGAGTTACTTGAGATATAGTTGTCCGAAATCGTTCGGTGTCAGTGCCGTATTCTGGAGTAGCTGCGCCGGCAGTCCGGCCACGGCCGCTGCAGAAGTTTGCTGTGAAAGTGCCGCCGCCACATTTTGTTGATTTGCAACTGCTTGCAATTGTGCTGCCAATGCTGCCGCAGCAGCCGTTGCTGCAGATGGTCCCGTAGCACCGCGTGACGGTGACAGGATTATCGGTGCGCCGGCTAAGCCAGGCGATCGAAGATTGTTCGGCTGAAAACACCAAACTCTCTGGAAATAAAAGCAGTGATCAAGCATTTTTCATGAAATCTGTAGTGCTATAGGAATTTTAGGATCGAGCTTCTAACACAGGGCTCTCTCAATTCCCAGCCGAAAAAAACACATCGAAAGTTCGATTACGAAAGTTTACCTGGCCAGCAGCGAGAGGAAGTGGGGCCATCAGACGAGCTTGCAGCGCTGCTAATGAATTCTTACTCGCTGCAGCTGCAGCAGCAACTTGCGCAGCAGCAGCAGTTGTCTGTCCAATATTCCCGGAGCGGTATGTACCGTTAATGATCGCCAACTCCATCAACTGCTTGCGCTTCAACTCGTCATCTTCCGACTGTAAACTAATAACTTTTTCATACTGAGAAAACATAAACGCGATCTCATCCATTTATAATTCGCGGACTCCATGTGCTGCCTGTAGACAAGTATAAAAAAAAATCCAGTAACAACAATAGCTTGGATGGCAGAAATTCGAGTAATTCGGTGATTGAGAAGCCGAGAAATCGACAATTGCTGCAAATGGAATGCCTAAAATTGGCTACTATAACAACATATTCAACTGTACACCTGGCATCTTATCCAGTTCCATAAATTATGATCGCTGCGCTAGGCAAAAATCTTCCAGGACAGTACTAAATTAATTTCCTCCTTAAAAATCCCGAACTGGAAACCTTATGGTAGTGTGAAAAGAGCAACGGTGTTGG